GCTGTCGGCAACTGTCAACATGTCCCTTGCGGGCACCTTGGTATCAAGCTCAAATGCCACACGTTGGGAATAGCGAGTAGAGTCCATAACGCAACTTGTTTTCGCAATTCTTCTGCTTCATTCCCACCAATTTTCAAGTAATTAAAGCGGCATACCTCAACAGCTGCAGACCTGTACACCTCATACATGGCAAGGATCCACTTGCAGGTAAGTGTACAGCGTATATCAAAGAGGTATATTTATGGGTAGTGCAGTACCTCTGGAGAGCATGGTGGGAGTGGGCTCTACCGGCGAAGTTTCTTTTTCGGTCTCAAGGCGTCCAAACAAACTGACCATGTGCTTTTTATAAGTTCTCCTTGCAAGTATCAATAGCAGAGCCCTGTTGAAGTAGCAATATTGAAACTTCTACCCATGCTTTCTATGAAGCAAAAACCGCAGCTCACCAACAAACGGAGTTCAACCAACGACCTGTTGATGGGAAGCAAACACACCTTCACTGGTCCATGTTGCCACTGCCACTGCTGCCCCGTCACTTGAGTAGATGTGCTTTTGATAATATAATAATAGAATATAGTAATAATAGAATCTGAAATAAAAATGCCTTCGCGACTCTCTTCAGTGAATCGCTTTGCAAATTCCTCAGGTTGATTCGAGCTCAACGTCTTAAGACACAAGTGTACATCACAGCATAAATAAATGGTCAGATTGACTGTTGGCCTTTCCTAGACGTTCGAATCTGTTAGTACTGTCCTCTGCGGGTGTGCTGGGGCATGGCATGGGGATGCGACTGGAGAGCGTCTGCTTGCTATCCACCGGTTGTTGTCGCTTGCTTGCTTTAACAATTACTGACAGAACGTTCAGCACCATGCTAAATCTAGCCCAACCCGCGCCCCTCACATGCCGCAGCATCCGTAGAGAACAATATTGTATCAATTTACTCGCACCATAGAGATGGACGGCTTGTTGGCTCGGGCTAAAACGTACCAGACATTTGGCTTCCAGACAGTGCGCGTGGTATCTAGGGCCACATTTCACTACTGACCTTCACCCAGTAATCTCGGTGCCTAGGGACAGTTACCGAACCATTGAACCTCTCACGTAAATTCCAAAGAAGTTTATGATGGTGTGAAAATTTCTTCCAATTGTTTTGTTTTCAAGGCAATCACTACTGTCGGCGATTTATGTGACGAGGCAAACGCAAAGAAGCTCATCGATCATACCATAAAAGAATTCCAGCGAATTGATACACTGGTGCAGAATTACGTTACTGTTCATTGTTGCTCTTTTGAATTACATTTTAGATGGTTCAAGAGAAATGTCCACGTAAACGCTGCCTTTTTTTCAGATTAACTGCGCCGGGATTCTAACATCTGGAAGTATTATAGACACTGATATTGAAGTGTACGATCGCCAGATGGATGTGAACGTAAGAAGGTAAGGTTTTGGCGAAGCTTTTCTAACCTTGCTGTCTATGAACGATCATTCGTTTATCTTTGCTCCCTTTCGGAATGGCTTCTCCTGTATTCCCATGGCTGAACTGCAGGTTTGGGATTACAACAATCACTGTAGAGATGTGCTCTCCATGCTTGAAGTTGTTAGGGCTACTATAGGCTGTCGTTTGTGGTCGCCCCGTTAGCTTTATCGGTGTGCTTGAATTGTGTGGCCGCTCATTTTTCGTATTGGCTCAAATGTCAATCAGACGTTTCCCTATAGGGCACTTTCATTACAGAGCGAGACAATTGTTAACCTTGGCTCTATGAGTTTCGGCATTGGATTTATCTCTCACGTTACTTTATATAATAAGAATTCAACCCGAAACTTGGTATTTAAGCGTCACAACTTTTTTAGCGTCGTCATGTTAACTCGCCTAGCGCTGCCTCACATAATTAAAACGAAAGGAACGATCGTGAATGTTTCAAGCATTGCAGGTCCATGTGCAGTGAGTTTTTCCTGTAAAAAAGCATTTACAATTTCATGAAAATTCATTTTTTGTTCGATTAAATGGTTGGAAGTTTTGTTTTATTTGGTACATACTTGAACATTCTCCAATTTACTAGCCCTGATTTTGCGAAGCAACGTTATGGTCAGGCTCTGAAAGAAAGACATATGTCTAGTGCGCTGCGATTGAGGGGGTGCCCTTTTCCTGCCAGTGTTGAAGCACGTATACGCCAACAACTGGTAGAAATCGAGTGATACGAACATTATGATAGAGTTTTGCCTCTGCTGGCTTCACTAGCTTGTGG